AACCAAGGAGCACCTTCGCCGAGTCACCCAGAGTTTCCCAGCAAGACAAATCCATTGACGGCTGTCAAATTAGCAACGCAAATTGCAAATACGCACACGGTATATATCTGCATAATTTGTGCAAAAATAAAAGAGTCATATTTATATGCTTCCTCGCCCCAGCCAAACAGTATCCACTTATTTAGGCTTGTTCCCCGGCCCTCGAGTGCCACTTGTTTTGTTTCCCTTTTTTTTTTTGCGATTCAATGGCATGGCGGCAGTGCGCTTTCATCTCAACTCATATCCACGCTCCCATCCTCCAGATACTTATGCGGCCACATGGTGGCAGCAACATCATCCTCATCCGCATCTCATCCACATCTCGTCCACATCCCATTCCCCTTTCCATTCCCCGTCATCGTCTTACACTCAATAACATTGCGCAGAGCCAGTCATGATGTGCGATATTAAAATTAAGTGTTACATTTGTCAGTGATGATGCGCGTCAAAGAGCAAACAAGATCTGATATACAACCGATTCGACTCGATGAGGCGATCCAGAAGTGCAGCCCGAGTGGGTGGAAAATAATCAAAGCCGAACGCATTTATGAATCATTTGGCCATTTCGTTAGAGTGCTGCGATTGATCAACAGATGGTTGAGAGAGCTCATGGTTCGATTCGAGGAAATTGATGCAGGCGAACCTCAATGGGGTCAATAGTTTCGAGAATTAAGGCACAGTAAATTTATATGATTTTTCAAGCTGTAACCACATCATGTTATACTCAAAATGATGACAAGTCTATAGATTACTCCGCATATTTAATTTGAAAATATGTTTTCATATGCCAACTGTGGAAACTTTATCAAGAATTGTAAAAGCCATGTTTCATAGAAGTTGAAAATAAATAACATAAATAAGAAGCAATATTTCGTGACATATTTAAATCATTAGTTAGTAAATCTAATCTAAATTTGAATAACAACAGTCTCTTTTAACGTTTAATTTTTATAATCTTTTTTTTTAAAGCAGGTGAACAAATTGAAATTTAATTTTCTGTTAGCCAAATTGGTTAATATAATCACAGAACATAATCAGCCACTGATTTTAATCGCTTTTCGGTCTAAGCACTCCCTGCATTATCAAGTCTATTGTCTTCGGCCCCTTTCAATTAAAAAATAATTACTAATTTCAATTGTTTTTCGGGCGATTGTCTTGAATTTATGTTACTTAAATGACTCACGAGTGTTTTGTGGTTCGCCTTTTATCTGGCCATAAACAATCTCCGCCTGCAATGACACTTTAAAAGGGGTCAGCCGGGGGTCAGGGCACTTCAAAGTTAAGTTTTTCGTTGACATGTGCGACTCGAGAGCCCGACACTTTTTGTTGCCAAGTGAAAGTGTAACTGTAATGCCATCTAACTGTAATTATATACAGTCTGGCGTCCAAGTTTATCTAACGTCGAGCTGCAAGTGTCGCTCAAACGCCGCTGCCACTCCTCCATCTGTCTGACTATTTCGCTCTGTTCTGGCTCGTCGGGTTGTCGGGATGTCTGGCTGTCATAAAATATAAAACTTTGGCCCAAAAATATCTCCCGTCCACGCAAATGTACGTACGTCTGGGTAATCCAGACCGAAGTATGAAAGGGGGGGAGACCAACATCGTGTGCCGGCCCAAAAAGTTTGCAGTTTTTGTTACCAGAACTCTTGCCGACCTCCTCCGATTTCAGTTAGTTGCGTGGGTGTAACTCGAAGCGCCATTGGCCCAATTACACTAAACGAGTGTTTCGCAGATCCCAGCAGGAGCAGCTCCACCCCCCTACCCCCACAATCACATTGCCAGCAGGCAATCGCCGGCTGTTTGCCAAGATAAACGACGAAGGATTCGACTAGGATTCAACTCGAGGACTCCACATTGTGTCTCTGTAATTTTGGGCGTTATAATGGAGCTTAATGCACAAAACTCGTTATCAGCAGGAGCGTTGAAAAGTTTCCCGGGAAGCCAACAAAATGGAACTCGAGCGTGCGCGTTTGATTAAATGCATGTAATTTGGCTTGAAGGGAGCTCAATGCCCCGAGAGCCATCAATCGTGATTGTCTGTCTGTCAAATTATGCGGAATGAAACGGCAAACAGAGAACTTGAGCCAACTCCACTCGAAACCCTCTTGGCTAGACAATGACCCCTTTTCAGTGCCCCCGAAGCCAAAAGGTAAACAATGCTGGACTCGGAACGAAGAAGATTTTTAGCATCCCATTGTAAAGTTCACCCCTTTTGGGTTTGGCATTTATGACACCTCGCAGTCGCTTCAGCCTTTGCAGCATACAGACGATGTGAGAAATGCAATTTTATTGCTTGTGAAACATGTTAAATTCTGACGAGAATGTGCCAACAGCAGAACATAAAGAGCTGGAGATCCACCAATTTAATGCCGCCAGATTTGGAAGAATTTATATGGCACAGGGCGTGGCACCTACCTACCTACCTACCTACCAGGCACATTTTTATGTCTTCTGTGGTGTCTCTATGCCCCGGAAAGAGGGCCGAGTCCCTGAGTCGGGCATAAAAATCGTCAGCGTTTTGAATTCCTCATAAACGTGATGGGTCGGCCACTCACTCGTCGTTAGGCTGCCTTAGAATCTCGCCTATATCTCTCATATATGAGTATGGTATATTTTATGGAAATTGTTAATCCTCTACGGGTGTTTACGACATCTTTTGGGCTGTGGAGTGCAAGGGGGGTGGGGAAAAGGGGAGGAGGGGCGTGTCCAATACACTTTTTTGGCCACATTTGCTTAGTCAGTAACATTTTTACGATGTGCTGGCCGAGCGAGGGGAAACAAATAAACAAATGGGCGATTTCCTACAGTGACACCACATCCTCAAGTGGAAGTGTGGCGGGGAAAGTTCTCTGGACCAAAGGAATTCTCCACTTTCCCATAATTCTCGGCTCCTTTGTTCATGCTGCTGGCATAACGTAAGCCGATTTACCTTTAATCCCTCGTCCAAAGTCAAAGTTAACGATCTGACCCAGTCGTAATTGCACTTGCTTCGCTTTCAGTCGGCCATACATACTTTCACTTTTGAGCAGCAGTCTTTTGAAAAGAATGGACTCTGTGGGTCCAGTGGTCCTGGTCCACTTTCTTCGTCATAAATTCGCAATGAACATAAGTTATAGTTTTTTTTGGTTTAAGCCCTGAGAAATGAGTGCGGCATTTAAATTAGTTCGCTTTGGCTTTGCTTCGTTCGGCCTGCATATTGCACACATTTTATGCATGCTGCAGTTGGCCATTTTAGTTTGGGCTCTGTTCAAGGACAATTTAATTATTCAGCCTTATTTTCGCAGACTTTTTGCACACAGCTTGCACTTCCGCTTCCGGCTTCCGCCGCTCCACTTCCGGCCTGCCGCTCCACCCATTGTTGTCCTTGTCTTTGGCACACAGAGCGCTGCACTAGAAAAGTTTTTCCATTTCCCCGTCTCGCTTTTCCCATTTCCCCCTCCTCACTCCCGTCCTCATAACAAGCTGGGAAAAGCTTGCCGCAAACTTCGCTGGCGCTCTAATGGAACTTTAAGCTAGATTAATTTTTTAATTAGTTCTTTTGTTGCTGCGCACTGAAGTGCCGCCCTGCCAGCGGCATCTTCTCGGCTGGATGTGGATCCTCCTCGGGGCTAGTGCCCCGTATCGCCTCCAAATGGAAATGGCAATGGCAATGGCAGCCATCGCATGCAAACTAATTTTTACAGGCGCTCGCCGAGTGCTTTATTTATTATATATATTTTAGTATGAACATGCACAGGCACAGCTGCTCGAAGAAATCGCTAAAAACTGCTGCTGCAAACTGCAGACTTGGGACCTTAAAGCTGCGGGCAGTAAAGAGCGCTGTTTTATTGAAAAAATCCTTAATTAAATTTCCGTTTCAATGTGTCAAAGTGTGAACAACACAATAATTTGGTTCTTTATTAACTGCCGCTGCTGCTGCTGCCTCTGCCTCTGCTGGGCGTGGCAGCAACATGAGCAACAGGAGCAACGAAAGCGGCCAGAGGAATAGCAAAAGGCAGCAGCTGCAGCACGGAATCCTTAATAAAGTTAAGCAACGCGGATGTGTGGGCCTGTGTGCGAGTGCTGGCTATATCCTGCCACCGGAGGTGTCAATTTAAAGCCAATTTAATTTGGCGGCAGCAGCAGCAGCAGCAACCACAGCAACATAAAGAACAGCCCGAGGAACTTGCCCCGGCGGCAATTTTAAAGCCACTCGCAAAAAAACTGCAAGAAGTCGGTGGCGGGGAAATGGAAATTACAATTTTTAACTGGGCCTGCTGCCGCTCTGAATATGCCGCTTTCAATTAAAAGCCATTGGCCAACCGACATTGGCAACGCCTGGACATGCACTTGGTCTCAGAAAGGGTTTCCGAATGGGATCGGGATTGCGAATGGCAATGGCAATGGGAATGGGAAGTCCTGCCACATATGTGTTGGCTTTGTTGCCGTCGTGTTCAGCAGTTTGCGAAAATTGCCAGCGAATTCCGACCGAATGTGACAACAATGACGGCAGCAACATCAACAACTGCAACAACTTCTGCGACCTAATTTGCAGCTGCAGATGGTCAACAGATTGAAAAACGCTAAAGAGGGTAGAACTTTTGGTCCTTTCAACTTTTTTGTATCCGCTAAATATGCATTTTGAATATGAACATGTGTTAACACCGATCAGTTGGTTGTGAGATTAGCATAATACATTTTATTTAACCAGATTTTCCAACTGATTATAAGAAATGTAAGTTTATATAATATGTATTTATATATAATATGATGTATATTATATTTGAATGTATATATTTTATAGATATATATTTTATATAAGTTGCACGTGCATCCGTGAAATTTTAATAAGACCTTGGAATACCAGATTTGATTTGCAATAGTTATATAAGATTAGCAATTGTAGCTAGGTCCCCGACATATCCGGCATCCATTGATGTTTTACAATCACAAACAACATTCACTCTAAAAACAATTGTTAGGCCAGAAGCCATTTAAAAATTAAAAAAAACACTTTTGATAAAAGCTAGGGTTTTTAGTAGCTAAAATGAGTCGTTTCTTTCTTAAGTAAAATAAATGTGAATAAGTGTTTATTTCATTTAAACAAAACTAATAAATATTTGTTGTTCCCGATTCTATCCGCAACGGAATCCATTACGAATTACAGTCATGTAATTAGATTATTGTCGGCCACCACCTTTATATAAGCTTCAATTTTCAGATACGTCTTCATAAGAATCAGTACCAATTCGCGTTGACATGAAGTTCTTTTTGGGAGTTGTGGCTCTTCTACTTTTATCCCTTGTGGGAACTCAAGCTCGTCTTAGAGCGGACTACCCGTCGCCCGAAAAAACTGGATAAATGGCTAAAAAATCAAAGCCATTCAAATTGGAATAAGACTCAGCATTTACCACCAAATTGGAAAACATTCGGAAAACAGTTTATAATAAGTCGATACATATTCCACCAGTTCCTGTTTATAAAATTGGTTAATACTTACTCTTTTCAATTTGTTAATGCTTTTTTATCAAGTCATAAACGGTTGGAAAGAACTCAAAAATATTCACGTAAATTGTAAGAAAATCTTGTTTGAATGAATTAAATTAATGACTTCCAACTCAATTTAACATAAAGAATTATTTGGTAATCGTGCCTCTTCCTTGTGGGATCACAAGCTTGAGTGATTCCCGATCAAAAGAAGGCTTATTGGCAGAAACAATAATATCCATTTAATATGTACTATAAGTCATATTTCATATTCATATTTGAATTTAATATGTACTATAAGTCTCAGTTAAAAATCAACTTAACTTTGATTTCATGGAGTAACTATAGTGACTGGAATCTAGTTCTAGTAACGAATCCAAAGATGAAGAACCAAGTGTAACTACTTATCCGCCGTAACAAGTGCAAGACCCTTAACCCCGTCTTAACCCCAGGCGACTTACTCGGCTGTCATGTAAAACACGGGACTTGCAGTCGGTGCTGCAGCTACTGTTGCACACGCAAGTGGCGACAAGATTTGTACTTCCTTTGCTGCAACTGCTGATCCAGGTGCTCCCCCTGTGAACTTTTTGGGGAACAAAGCCAGAGACAAACTGCCGTGTATTACATTTTTGTCAAAGACAAAATGCCTCCACACTTTGCGATACGCGAATGGAGGATCTGCAGGAATTGGCTTTATGTTCGGGAACGGTTCGTTGGGTGCCAAAGCAAAAAGGAGCTGCAACAGGAGCTCGGATTTGGCCGTAAGCCCGGCCATAATGCAGCCATCCTTAGCCAGGATGCCAGCCAAGGTGGCAGGATCTACAAAAGGGGATAAGGAAGTGCCTGGTGCCTAGTGACACAGTTTCCCGGCCAGAGAACAACGCAGTGGCTTATATTAAAATTTCTGGACAGTCTTATTTTTATTTGGCCGCTGCTGGCCTTCTCTTTTCTCTTGTTTTGCCTTGGATACATTTTAGTTTTTCTCAGGCTTTCAGTGGAATGCAGAAATCACAGTCTTTTTCCATCGTCATCCCTTCTTTTGGGTAGGGAAAATGAGGGGCGGGTTTGCGGCTAACAAAAGTTGTGCGCAGTCAGTTGACATAAATTTTGTTAGCCTACTTCCAGGCGAAATTGCTTACAGGCAATGCCCAGGCGCTATTATTACTATTTTTGCGGAAAGACTGCGAGCAAAATTGTGTCATTTCACTTTTTACGCTCCATAAATGAATTCTCTTTATGCATTATCCAATTAAAAATTTTTACATTTTTTGCGTTCTTTAATTTGATTGAAATTAATATGGTTCTTAAAAATCCTTGAATAGGTTTAAATCAGTTTTGTCATCCAAAAGAAAATTAAAGTAATAAATAAAAAATACAACTATTTTTCATGATCTTTTATATTACAATGTTCGTTATCTTCTTTTTAATAAATGTTTTCTTTTTTCAATTACAGATTGTGAAATTTATTTATTATTAAAACTCCTCTACATCAGAATATATTTCCACCAAAAGATCTTATGGGTAATGGCCAGTCGAGCTACTCTTTGCCCAATTCAATGGCTGAAAACAAAAGTAATTTTAATTAAAATATTACGACTACTTTATGCCGAGTACCACCTACAAGGGATGGCATGCAACTAAAAAATAAATTTAATTATGCAAAAAGTGCGCTGCACTCGAGTAAGGAGGTTGGCCACGCCCCTTATCCACTAGTGGAAGGTGGGGGGTGCGGCACACGGAAATTATTTCAATTGTATGCACTTCAAGAGAAAGAGAACAAAAAGTTGGCAAAAACAGGGGAAGAAAGAACATTTCTCGAATACTTTATCGGGGGGGCAGGGAAGTTGGAGGAGGCAAAGGGGCAGAGCCGAGTGGTGCACTTAGGACACAGCCCGTGGAACCGAAATACCGTAGAACCGGAGAACCACCGCGGACTCGAGACCACGGACAGAGGACAGACGTCGTCGGCCATTTGAATGAGGTGCTGACTGACGGACCGGCATTTCGGCCAGGTTAAAAAGCCCAGCGACACCGACATCAGCAGACCGAAAAGTTTGCTCCAAGCCAACCTGAAGTGGTCGACTCGATGGAATGACGGGATGGCCCGGTGGTTAGGCTACCCAGCTACCCAGCTACCTACTACCAGCTGAGTGCCTCTTTTCGGAAATTCAAATTTCCGATTCTTGATGATTTTATTTAAATTTGCGTATTCGAGTGTTTGTCGGAGGCTCTTCAAATGCCGACTGCCGACTCCCGACTACTGACTGCCTTTGTTTTTTGGGCGAAAATTGTTTAAATTGGCTGGAATTTCTGCGTCCAAATTGGTCCTCGCTTCGACTCTGATTCTCTGGTCGACCCCTTTGGGCCAATTAACATAGTGGGGCTTAACCATGATTTATTTCGGCGGGATACTTTGCCAGAGGAAGCCCTCATTATCATATCAGTCTTAAGTACAGGCGGCAGCTGCTGCAGGGGATTCCGTTTTTCGGATCTGTGGGAGGTGTAAACATGACAAACATGGACAAAAACTTGGCGAAGGTCATGCGGACACGCCCCCTTTTTCGGTAACTGCAGTGGCTAGATAAGAGTTGCAGGCAGACACGTGTGGTGGCTGTTGAACCACCCATTATGCATCCGCAGCTGCCCATTTCGGTGGTAATTTATTGCCCTTCGGACAGAGCTACCATCTCAGATTGTCTAGGGTTTCAAACCGCCCGACTGGTGGTCATAATTTGTAGCCACGTTTTGTCTAATCTTTTGTTTAATTCTGTTAGTTGATTTCCGATTTGGGGAAGTCACAAAGTTACCCTCGTTATGCGGCTGGAGTATTTTGTTCGCGATGCTATCGTTGGATAGTCAAGAATGGGAAGTCTTTCATGTGCGTGGGAAGCGTTTATGGATGTTCTGAAGGGGAATTAGTCAAATTCCCAGAGATCGCATTCCTAATGCCTCAGATCTGCGCCGTGTGTCCATTTAAGCCGCTAGTCGAGCAGTTATCTCACCGAAATCTCTGCAATATCACGCATTCCCCATCATCAGCAGCGGGCAACATGCTGCTGTTGCAACTGCAATTGCCAATGCAACTGCAATTGCAACCAAATGCAGTTGGAACTGTGTTACTTGGACACATTGCGGGTTAGTTATGCCACGAAATGCCCAATCAGAGCCACGGCCCACTAACTAACCCACTCATTTGACCGGCAGACACCAGCCAGAAACACCAAACGCCTCTGGACGCCTTTACCGATTGCCCACACGTTTAATTGCGGAGACCCCGAACTTTTGGCTCAGTGTATCTGCATGAGTACGTGTGTGTGTGTGGGACATAATATAGCAGCCCAAATTATACCACTTATGGCCGAGACCCCGCATCCCGCACCCCTTACCCCATTTCACAGTTAACAAGAACGAACCAAAGCGAAACCAAATGGACAGGCCGCCAAATGAGCGACAGGCAAACGAGTGCAGCTTAACCAGGCCGTATCGTTCTGGCCGCTTTTGTTGCTGCCTTCGGTTGTTTGGCTCTTTTCGGCACTTCTCGTTGTCAGCATAGTTAGCCTTGCGGATCGTCGAGGGACCGGGTGCCGGTCCAGATCCAGATCCCCAAGATAAGTTCAGTCGGGCACAGCTGCGCCGAAAATTGTTTGGCATTTTGCGCATGCGTCGCGGCAAACGCGATCTTAAGAGGCCAACAACGGATACCATAAACACAGGGCCAAGATACAGTGGTTTTGGCAAAGCCTTCCATAGGGCTTTATAGGGATCTTCATGATCATAAATTAAATGCAAGAATCTGAAGAAATAAGCTCTATTACCTCCTGAGGAACAAAAATAACAATTGTGGGGCAAAAATATTGTATTATATATTAAAAAACAATTTGTTAATCAAAATCGCTATGTTTCCCTCTAACATACGATATTTTAATGCTGCTTTGACTAATGGATATACGTACCTCTGAGTGAATATAGATTTATTAATTCATAGTTTACAAATTGTTAAAAAAATACGATTTTGTGTCGAAGTACAATTTCATTTGCAGCAATTCAATATTTTTATTAATTTAAAATATGAAATTGCTTAAACATAAAACTAAGCGAATAATGGCTTGCACAGCAGGTGCTATTTTAAACACTTCTATTTATTATCCTCATTTCAACTTTTAACCATTTTCGTGTTGTTTAATGAATTGTGTAAACTATACATATATTGGTACATTACCAATTCGCAGTGGTGTATCGCCAATTTAAGTATCGTTTATTAATAATTAGAAAAGAAGTTAGTTATGCCTCCTTAACCATGTAATAACTTTAGAGAATTGGTACCAATAAAGCAATTTTATTAATATACAAACTGTTTTATACCTAACGCATTTTGGTAAAGTTATATAACATCTTAAAAATTAATCTCCTGCTGCAACCACTGTGCGCCGGCTGCAGTCGATAAAAAATTTGGTTTTGGTTTTCTCAAGATCTCAGGAAGAGTTTCAGCACCTCTCACGAGGAGGCAGCTGAGGGGAAAAAGAACACAAAGTGTTGTTAGGGAATGTGCTGCAGAATTAGCTGAAATAGTTGTAGGTACAAATTTAAGACGCTCTTTGGGTTGCTGTTGCCATGGTTTTAGTTCGTGTTGCTGGTTGCCAGTTGTGTGTTGCTAGTTGCTGGTTGTGTGTTGCTGGTTGCTGGGCCTGCTGTCGCTGTGTGCGTGATGCCAGAAACCGTTAGAAGGCCAACAGCGTTGGCGCTTGTAAGTGTCAATGGGTCTAGACGGGTTTTTGGGCCAGCAGTTGTTCGCAGCAGTTGTTACAGTTGTTCGAGACGAAAACCCAAAAGAAACAAACAGAAATAAAACGAATAGGCAAATTTTGCATTGCACATAATTTATTTGACTTTAATTACAATTAATTACGGTAATTATGTTGTTTTTAGAGACCAATGCCAACTCAATTATTTTAGCACACACATTCGCGGGTGTGCAAAAAGCTCGAGCTCTTTCGAGCTGCCGTTTTTGCTACATGAAAAGTTTGCGGTTGGGAAGTCCCAACTTCTTCTTTGTCTCTCTCTCCTACTCGCACTATCTCTCTTGCACTCGCACTATCCTTAAGAGGCAAAAACAGCGACGAAAATAACATTTGTGC